TTTTTACAATAATCTGCCCAAGCCCACAGTTCCCCACTTACATTCCCAATCATGACTAATTCAAACCAAGCAGCCCAAAAACCATAAACTAAATACTATAAATAACTGGACAGCCCAGTAATAAATGGTAACACGATTCCTGTTTAGCTTTACAAAAATAATATCCATTCACAATAGTGTATCCTTTTCTCTTTAACATGTTAATAGTCAAAATATTGTCTTTTGCCACCTCCCAAGCAGAAAAGCCACTCTAGGTGGCCATTTTATCTTCTAAATTAGCTTGAAAGGTGGATTCATCTTCCAAATTTGCAATAAGCTTATAGATGCTCACAACTAAACTAATAGGTCTTAAATGTTTTATATTACCTACCACCTCCATCTTAATAAGAAGTTCCAAGAAAAAAAAGTTTAAGGATTTAATAAAGATACCCGATTTATGCAATTCATTGAAAAATTCTATAGTATCCTCTTTCATTATGTACCAGAATTTTTGAATAAATTCTGTGTTGAAGCCATCGGGATTAGGGGTTTTATCTCTTTTTACATAGCATGAATCCCTCAAAAATTTTCTCTTTAGTAAACTCTCTTTCAAGTTGGCCACAACTCATCTTGTTCTAGGATTTGAAGGTGATATCGTCCAACTTAAGTCTCCACCTGAACTCGTTGCCATATAATCTACAGAAAACTCCTTAACAACTTGTCTTAGTTGCTCATTATCCTTCACAATTCGGTCATTAATCTTTATTTCCTCTACATAATTAATGTTTCTATGATGATTTTTCATAATATGAAAGAATTTTGTGTTTTTATCTTCCTTCTTAATCCATTGGTCTCTTGAATTTTGTCTCTATGATATCTCCTCAATTTGTAATTTATTTACTAATTCTATCAATTGTTGGATTCTTCGATACACAAAACGTCATTGCCCTCCATCTTATTAATTGTCGGATTAAAGATTGGGTATATATGCTTCAGTCTTCCCTTTCTCCTTACTCCACTTTTTAATTTTGGTTTTCATTGCCTTCTTCTTTTGAACGACTCTAAAATTGGCTCTATCAATCACTATTGTCCCTTCCACCATTAATTGATCTTATCAAAGAAACCATTAGGCGCCAACTATTTGTCATCAAATTTGAATAGAAAGGGCCCATTTAATTTCATCATAGACAATGTAAATAAGAAAGTGATCAGATGTAGTCTGTTGCAAGAGTTTTTGGCTTATACCCGTTGCTTGTAATTGACAGAAAACCAACACAAAAAACCTATCGATTTTTGGACATGCCTAGTTGAGTCTTTGATTTAACTTTATCTATGTCCCTCCACTGAGATATAAATCATTTAAATCCAATCTGTCAAAAATCCCATATAATTATTCAATAAAATCCTCGAAAAATTTAAAACTCGACTATAAATTTAATTCTTCAATATAATCCCATTTAGAACTTGATTATAAATATTATATGCATTGATTGAAAGGGTAATGCTTAACACACATTTTTTTCTAAGAGACTTGGAACTTGAACATAAGGTTGAAGTGATGGAGCCATTCACCTTATACAACCTATCCAATTTTAGATGCATATGTTGTTAAAATTTTCCTTCACTTGTTGATGGGTGCTTGACGACTAAGTTTTTCTTTCTTTTACCAATAAAAATTGATATTAACTCTGCATTAGAGACAAGTCATGCACTAGGATTTTAAGAACTCTGTATGTAGAATCTGAGATCCACTTTTACCTTTACGAGTGTTAATTTAATCTATTTTATTTTTAATATTAATTGATCTTTGTTCTTTATCCTTTTAATTTTCATTAGTTTGCAAATATTTTGCCTATATGATTTCTTTTGTTTGTTTCCTGAACAATGAAAATTCAGTCATAAAACTGACATGTTACCCATGTGTGAGCACCTTGATGGAGGAGGAGATGTGCATTATCTTTTCTCTCTTTATCAATAAGGCTATCATGGTTTGAAGATATTGGTTTTACTTCATGCTTCTATGGCTTCTGCCTAGTTGACTAATGGTTTTGCACGTTAGTTATGGCATAATCAAATATATTTAGGTCCTCACATTGTAAGATGGGTACTTAATAATTTTCCTCTTTAATTTTTTATTTTTTCTTTATATATATGTTGGTGTGATGGTGGTGGCGTCTAAGATATTGTTTGGATGACTTTTATGATAATTTATTAATATACGGTATTGTATGCTAAGTACATAGTATAATAATGTTCAAGTTATACCATGTTTGAAAAAATTGTATATTAATTTCTTATAATGAAAGCTGTTTTTTTTTATTAATAGAATGATATGATTGTATATTTGATCAAATTACATATTTTACTCATACTTTATTGTATGTAATTATAAATAAAAAATAAAAAAATAAACAAATAAACAAATATATATTTAATTATATATATTATATATGTATATATGTAATTAAATATTATATACATTTGTATACATAATTAAATATATTATATATACAATATATTTAATTATTTTTACAAATGTATATAATATAATGTATATATATAATTAAATATACACATGCATATATGTAATTAATATTATATATATAATTAAATATACAGATTTATGTATATATATAATTAAATATATAGATATATGTATATATCTAATTAAATATATTATGTATATGTATATATATAAAATTAATTATATAAATATATGTGTATATATATATATAATTAAATATATAAATTTTATAAAAAAAATAAGTGACAATACAAAAATCAAGTGGCTATATATATGTATGTATATATATATATATATTCATAATTAGATAAAAAAAAATTTAAAAAATAGGTTTAAATGTAAATAAAAAAAAATTAAAGACATAAATAAAAATAAAATCATCAAGACCATATTAAACAAATTATTTCGGTATTTTGAAAAAATAAAAAAATTGTAACTTTTAAACCATATAATAACTATAAAAAAACGATTCTATGTATCATACCATATATTAATATACTTTTTTTTCAAACTAAGGCCTAAACCCGGTAGGGTTAGTAACAGTTCCTTTTCTAGTTTTTTTACAAAATTGGGTTTACTTCGCCTATATTAGCTTGAAAATATTATGAGAATTTTAGGTGATAATTGCAATTTTTTTGGAAGAAATTGTTGCTTCGGTAGAAGAAATCATTTACCCTCTCTCTCTCTCTCTCTCTCTCGCTGCAGCATATTTTGCTTGCTTCTTGTTCATGAAAGGATCTATCTCCGTTATCAATATAAGCTTTTATGCTAGAGTGAAGAACGTGTTTGCGAAGAGGGTGGCATACTTAGCATCTTCTCCTTTAAGTCTTTGGGAGGACCAAAACTTTATTCTTGACGATTCCGTTTCTGCTGATGAGAGCGACTCGCGAAATTTCAGTCACAGTTCTGCTAACTTGAGCTGGGATGACACCTCTGAATTTGTTGACAAGAGTCTCTTGATATTTAGAAATGGAAAAGCAGATGCTAAAGTGGAAGCAATTAAATCGATGCTCTTGAAGCGAGGTTGGCATTTAAATTCTCAAAATGGATTTGATGTTGATGTTCTTAAGTCTAACACGACTCGCTTGTTGAATGACCTATTTCATGAGACTTCGGATGCCGCACTTGCTTTATATTTCTTCAATTGGTGGAAATGGTGCATGGGATCAGAGCACTCAATCCGGTCTACCTGCAGAATGATACAAATTTTAGTTTCTGGGAACATGAATTATAAAGCAGTGGAGCTGTTGCTTCATCTTGTGAGAAGTACTTGCAAGGAAGAGGGGTCATGTGATCTGATTCTTCAATTCCTTTCTGAGGTGCATACTGATAAAAAGGTTTTAGAAACCACATGTAGCATGCTTGTTGACTGCTGCATCAAGGAAGGCAAGGTAACTATGGCAATCAATCTTACATCCCAAATGGAGCATCTCAGCATCTTTCCTTCCATGGGGGTTTGTAATTCACTACTCCATACTTTATTAGCAGCTAATCAGTTAGAACTGGCGTGGGATTTTCTAGAAAAAATGCTTAGTCGAGGAATGAGTCTAAACGTCACTATTATTAGCTTATTTATTGAAAAGTATTGTTCTGAAGGAAACATTGAGAGTGGTTGGGAATTGCTCATGGAAATGAAAAAGCATGGAATTATACCTGATATTGTGTCCTATACAATTGTCATTAGTTCCCTTTGCAAAGGGTCTTTCCTAAAGGAAGCAACTTCTATAATGTTCAAAATTGCACAGTTGGGAATCTCTCCGGATTCAGTTTCACTTAGCTCAATTCTTGATGGTTATTGTAAGATTGGCAAATTAGAAGAAGTAATTAATATTTTTAAAATTTTCAAACTAAAGCTTAATATTTTTGTGTACAACAGCTTTCTGTCAAAGCTATGTACTGATGGTAACATGGTTAAAGCTTCTATGATGTTTCATGAGATTTCTCAGATGGGCTTGCTTCCAGATTGTGTTAGTTATACTACAATAATTGGAGGATTCTGTAAAAAAGGGGACATAAATAAAGCATATCAGTACTTTGGTAAAATGTTAAAAAGTGGAATTAACCCATCTGTTACTACATTTACACTAATTATTGATACATGCTGCAAGTCTGGAGATTTTAGCGAGGCAGAATCTTTGTTTCAGAAAATGATAGGTGAGGCCTTGGTGCCTGATGTTGTTACCTACAACACTTTAATGGATGGATATGGAAAGAAAGGCTGCTTGCATAAAGTTTTTGAGCTTTTAGATATGATGAGATTGGTTAACATATCTCCTGATATAGTGACTTATAACATTCTAATTCATAGTTTGGTTATAAGAGGATTTATCAATGAAGCAAAAGATATTGTTGATGAGCTTATTAGAAGAGGTTACACTCCTGACGTAATAACATATACTAATGTCATAGACGGGCTTTCAAGAAGGGGAAATTTTGAGGAAGCTTTTCTTGTGTGGTTCTACATGAGTGAGCACCGTGTCAAACCTGATGTTGTGACATGCAGTGCTCTACTTAATGGTTACTGCAAGGCCCGTCGTATTGAAGAAGCAAATGCTCTGTTTCTTAAGATGATTAATATTGGGTTGGAGCCAGACCTGATCTTATGCAACACTCTCCTTCACGGATTTTGTAGTGTTGGCAATATTGATGATGCATGCAAGTTGCTTAATGTAATGGTTCAAAAGGGTATCCTTCCAAATAATGTTACTCATGAGGCACTTCTTCTTGGATTTGAGAAAAAGTCTGTCCAAAATCCTGTAGAATGTGCGACTTTAAAACTGCAGCAAGTTCTGCTGAGATACAGGGCTCAAGTGAATGGAGATGATTACATAGCTAAAATTCCAAAACCTATCATCTAAGTTTCTGCACCGACTTTGGAGGATCTACCTGTGAATTAGGCTGTAAGACTGCCTTCTTTTTTGTGCTTTTATTCCCACAATTCAAATAATCTGGCTATGAAAATTTCTTCTTCATATGCAAGTATACTCCTGGTGGTACTTAGAAACCTTTTGTTCCGTTACTCCTCAATGTCTATGGTTTTGCAGTTAGTCATGCTCATTTACGTGTGTGTTTTCCATGTAGAGCCTGTTGCAATGAAGCTTGGCACTGCATTTTTTGAGATTTTCTGCCACCAACTTCATATATGGAGCTTGGATCTCAAGATACAGTGGTGGATATATTGTTGTCTGATAGCTTCTACCAAAGTACTTTACGCTTCTGATGCATTTTGGGGGTCCATTTTGTAAGAATAGATATATCCATGTGCAAGTGTTCTATTATCTGTCTTGGTGAAGGTAGCTTGAATATTGCTTTGCATGTACACCGGGATAAGCCATGCTCAACCCATTCTCAGGGTTGCTTAGTTAGATGGAGTAAAAGTTTAGGCATGGTTTGGTACACAAATTTTTTTTACCTGTTTTCATCTCCAAAATTTATAAATGTTTGTACATAAAAAATATGTAGAGTGGCGTGTGTATCTGTGCTATTCAGGTATAAAGTTATAAATGTGTATAATGGCATGTGTATGTGCACCATTCAAATATAAAAAGAAACAGTTATGTCATTGTTACTTGTTTGGTAATTCAACAAATTATTATGTTTACTTTTCAAAAAGATAAAAAATATGAACAGATTTGTTGAGAATATAAAGATATTTTATTAGATTTCTGCTCATATGTGTATATTTATATATCCATGCATAGACATTTGAGCACTGAGTCACTACAATGTGTTATGCTTTGCATGCATCAGGATGATGTTAGATGAATCATAGGTAATGAGATGCATCATTACACGATAAGTAGAGTGTTAATGCCCAAATTCCAGCATTTCCTAGAGACAGATAATACTCGCTTTATTATCCACGATGCTTTGCAGGTTCCATTGCAGGGTATTCACTGCATCCATTAGGTTGTGAGATGCCTTTAGGATATGGGTTGGGGGGTGGGAGGGGAGAATGCAGGTAAGGACATTCAAGAAGAAAGTTTGACTGGCTTCTTAAAATAATTGTATGTGACCCGAGGTATTCTCATCTAATCTAACAACTTTGTTGAATCATGAAGGCTTTATGTATTCAAGGGATAACTGGGAGATCAATAGTCATGAAAGTATGGGATTCTTTGATAACTTGTCAACATTGTCTTAGTAAAAAACCTTATGACGTATACCTGGCATGTCTCAAAAGGTGTTAAACTGTGGTGGATATGCCGAGAGATTACTGTTTACAAAAAGCTTTAAGGAGGCTTCTTTGTTTTGAGGGGGGAAATGGTGGAACAAATGGTGAAAGGAGCTCTATCATACATCCCTCGTGGAGCACCATTTCTAAACCTGCAAGAATTCATTAGTCTTGTTCTGAGATGGAGTTTGTCAGAGAAAAGCAACTTATATTGTTGGGAGTTTTACTGCTGGAAATGGATTGTTCAAGGAGCTCTAATGGATGTGTGTTTATTGGCTGTGGCAAACTGTTTGTAGGTTTCTACCTAAAGTAGTAACAAATTGTTTGTGGTTCTGTATATTACCTTCTGTTGTCGTATTTGTCATGCTGATCCTTTGTTCTTTTTAGTCTAGCAGACTATTATTTATGTAATATATAATCCTCTGAGGAACAGCTGTATAAAAATTTTGTTTAATAACTAGCAAAAAGATAACACGTCGTTTGGAGCATCTTGTTATTTTAGAGAATATGGTAACATGTTCATTGTAGCCTATAATAAAATGTTTTTACCAGCATTTGCTATCTTCTTATCTTGGTCATTTCGCAAGTGAATTCAACGTTCCCTCAAAGGTAGCGAAGCAAATGCTTGCCTAATTTCAGCATGTCTGAAAGGTGTTATGTTGGCCATTAGTCGTTATGCAAAGAGAGCGCCAGGGGTAATGGAATTCTTTGGATCCTTAATCCACTGACATGCAAAGCTAATATATATCTATATATATGAACACAGCCCTGATGATTACTTCAATTTTAACACGTCCTCTACGCCTTATGCTTTCACCTACTGCTGTTTTAGCTGTATATGCTGCAACAGCTACTGATTAATGAGCTTTTTAACTTGTGAAACATGAACAGACATGGAACATATGGTGAGGTATGAGATATATGTGGCATGATAGGTAGTAATATATATAGTATAAACTAATAGATGGTAAGATGATCATTAATAACCAAGTCAATCAGACATTATCTAACGATAATTAACTGTAAGATTTGATTTTAAGTTTTTGTCGTTAAAATATTTATTAATATATATTATTTTATTATTGTTATTCACGATACTATCATACCAGAACAATATTGGTATTTACATTATATCCATTATAGAAAAGATTCACTTCTTACTTTTAGATTTATTTTAAATTTATATTTATTTATTTTTTTTAACTTAAACATAACAAAATTTTTAACTAAATAAAATTTAAAAATAATTATTTATTTATTTTAGTAGTATGAAATTATGTAAAATAATCTCAGATATCAAGAAATTTAAATTTAGCATTTTTTTAGGCCTAATTCTAATTAAATTAGGATTAAAACATGTAGAGCTAATTTATCACCTCATCAATCTGTTTTACCAAGTCACTATTGTCAACCTCTATATATATACATATATTTACTTCACCAATTAGGTTGTATGTCAGAACCAAGAAGTAACCATGATGATTGGAATAAACATATAAATAAGAAAATAAAAGAATTGTCCAAGTACTATGGTGTTGATTTTTAGTTCACTTTTCCATAATTTGCTCTTACCAAAAGCATAATATGTAACTCGAGTAATAGTGAATAAATTTAAATATTTAAAATACCATTTAATAAAACTAAGTAGGCAATTGTAATTCCTCATTAAACAACATGAAACTAACTTGGAGGAGAGGATTAACAAACTCAAAGTGTGAGAGAATATTAACCAAAATCAAATAAATGAAAACAAAAAACTTGATCTTGTAACCCAAGAGATAAGTAAATGAAGCTAAGTTCCTTTACTACCTAAGAAGAACTAGGAAAGAGGTTCGATTGGTGGATAATGAGTTGCCTAGCCTCTACAAAGCAACTGAAACTAGTGCAATAGCTAGTTAATTACTTGAAAAATCTTAAAACCAAGTTGCTAAAAGCAATCCATAAGACCTTAAAAGGAGTGATGATTCTTGTGTCTCTAATGAGTTTGATAAAAGCGTCTATTATATCAAAATTCCAAGTTACTGCATCTAGACTAGTATAATAAATTCAAAGAACTAAGTAAATTATCTCGACTTTTACAAAAAAAGTAATAGAGCTTTAAAAGAGAGAACTATCCTCTTATATAGATGATTCCTTCTCATGTAAACAAGGAAACAAATAAGTGATTTCAAACATTTAAATAAAGAGATATTCATAATTTTAAGGACTTAGTAGATAACGAGGATTCACAATAAATTATTAAATGTGAACAAGTTAGATAAATGTATAATTATAACACTAGAATAGATAAAAAAATTATGAATTTACTTTCTTTTTATCGTTAGATCCTAAAAGATCTGGATGAAATCTTACCAAGTAGAAAAATACATGACCATAAAGAAAACTACGACTTCTTTTACCGATAAAAATATATGAATTTTTAACAAAATATCACATGAGGATGATGTGCTAGTCTAGGAAGATAATCTAAAACAACGATTATGCGAATTTGTCTATATAAGGTTTACTCCTCTTGGGCACAAAGAGCCAGTGGAGTACACTCCATTTGAATCTATGACCATCCTAGATCATGTGTGAGATTTAATGCGAATACCTCCTTAAGTGGCTAAAATTTTTGAGTACTAATAATTAAACGTCAGGTGAATCAAAATACGATTTTTATCATAATACATGTTATAATACAAATGAGTGTGTGAACCTTAAGGTAAAGATTAGTTGTCTATGTTACTATAAAGATTAGGTAAAAAAAAAAGAATGAAGATATAGATATGATTGACAAAACCAACCCTTTTAACTAATTATTAAAGTCGCTTGTGGTAAAGGTACCAATATCTCGTAGAAGATGAAATACCATAATAAGAAATTACTATCAAGTAATTTCAATTTTTTATATCCTTGCTTCTAATTATAAGTATTCATTATGTCTTCATAAACAGTCTCATAGGAAAGAAAGAAAGATATATTTCAAAAAGAAAATTAAAGGACCTTCGATGAAGAAAAATCTTATATCTTAAGTTATCCTAACAACTAACTATTATAAAATAGAAAAAAGTCCTAAACCTTTAAAATTAGTAATTGAAGGCTAAAGACCCAATTTCTTGAACTATGGAGGAAAGAAATAAGCAAACAAAGAACACATAGAAATATGTGATGATAAATAAGTAGTAAAAAATAAAAATAAAATATTGTCTTAACAAATTAGTAAAAATAAAACATAGTAACACTAATAATAATATTATCAAAAAATTATATAAAAATAATAAAATATAATAATATTAATAACAATAATAAAATAAAATACTAGTAAAATAAAAAATAGTAGTAAGATAAAATAATACTTTAAGAATACTATAAAAAAAATAAAAAAAGTATATTAAACTAAATAGATTATAATGAACTAAAAAATATCATAGGATATGATTTAAGGAGTATTTTTGTAACGGCCCCGGAAATATTAAAATGAAATGAGTATTTGAATATATCAAATGCGGAAGCGAGATCAAAATTTCAGTTAACATCCCTTACACGAAAAACCAAAAACGTACTTAAAATATAAAAGATTAAACTAACTAAGAGAGAAACTCGAAAATAAAACTATGAGTATGACTACAGAGTCTCTAGGCATCCCCTTCGTCGTCCTCCTGCGGAACGGGCTCGGGAACCATGTCTTCCTGATCTGAAATGGTTAAATAAGGAGTGAGCTACACTA